ATATTGTTTTTTAGAGGACAGATAGGGCTACATATTTATATCACATATGTGTGTCTAACGCCTCACTTAGGACAAATAAAATATAAAAAAAAGAGAAAAAAAACGTTAAAAAAAAACAAACACTTTTTCCCAGTTTTGATTAGTATTTTTTTTACAACACCAGCACAGCTACAAAAATGCAATAAATACATTCATTTATTTGTCCCTTATTTTATTTTTACACATATGTGTGCAAGTGTACACAGAAGCAATGATGCCGTCTTAAAAGGCAAAAATAGCCACACAACATATTTATGTTTTTTTCTGTTTATGCACTTTGTAAGTGTAAAATAAATTTCATTTTCACAGCATCCTAACGTTACAGAAATTTTCGACAAGTGCTTGTACTATGCACATATGAATTTACACTGCCTGGCCAAAAAAAGTCACCTGGATTTAGCTAAGCAAATAGGTAAGAAGCTTACATTGGACAATTACTGAAGTGATTAATATATTTCATATGTTACGTCCCCATAAATGAGGTCAGCGGCTTACTGAATATATTAAATGACCAGGTTTTTCCATTAATGGATTTTTCTTCTCTAATGCCAGGGATAATTACAGGCTCAAATTGTGATAAGAGTGGATGAGTGAGCATGAGACATAATTTTCACACATGGATTGGCCACCATAGTCCAGACCTTAACCTCACTGAGACTCTTTGGCATGTGCTAGAGAAGACTTTACACAGTGGTCTGACTCTCCCATCATCACTACAAGATTTTGGTGAAAAATGAACGCAACTCTGGACGGAAATAAATGTTGTGACAATTGCATAAGATTATCGAAATGATGCCACGGCAATTGCATGCCGTACTCAAAGCTAAAGGCAGTCCAACGAAATATTATAGTGTGTGACTATTTGGCTAGACGGTGTATTATTTTTTTTACAGTTCAGAATGTGAATTACTATGCAAAGAGATACATTATGCTGTGATAGCTTTTAAACACCTTGCTTCTATGTAAAGGCTTGCAGCTAAACTCAAGAGCCACTAAGGATTTGAATCCACTTTGAGTGCACCAAATGCCTATGCAAAGCCATATTCTTTGTAAAGTCCCATCATCACTGTGCTGCAAATAGTCTGTGCAGGAAACAGAGCTGTGGGAGGGACCCAACAGGCCCAGCCACTATGGGCTGCCTGCCAAAGAAAACTACAGGAGGGGCATACAAGACCAGTCACCCTGCATAAGGTGAGAGAGCAGCAGTGACTGGTCTTTATTACAGGAAGCTCGTCCTATTTCCAGTAGTCTTCCAGAATAGCCTGTGAGAGACAGGGAGAGGCTCCTCCTCTCAGACAGGAAGCATGTTACCCATCAAGAAATAAAAAGATCGCTCCCAGGCATAACACTCATTAAACTCGAGAACTGAAGGCAGTAATGGCAAAAAATAAAAGAATTAAACACAAAAATACAACAGGGCAGGAATTCGGCTGTGCTGGAACACTACTGGAAATACAGTTCCCAAAGTTTTAACTCCAGGTTTTCCCCAGTCATCTTCCAGGATAAGATCCATGGTGAAAGACTGGCCAGTGACAGAAGAGAAACCCACGCCCTTTTCAGCCAGTATGGAATAATCAAAATGAGATGTGTCCTCCTATAACTACTTTTGAAGAATTATTTGCAAGAGATGGATTGGTGGAAAAGCTTAGCAGAGATTGAAATTCCACGGGTTCGTGAGAGCATCGACGGGGGCTGAGATGTCTGAGAGGTTCAGCGAGAAGAACCGCAATGGTTTGGCAGTTGTTTGGGAATCAAAGAGGTCTACTTCTGGGTTTCCCCATTTCTCTGTTAGGAGTAGGAACAATTCTTCGTTCAAACTCCATTCCTCCTGGCGAACGCGGTGGTGGCTGGGAAAATACACCAGACTCCTTAAAGTAACTGAGGTGAATTGCTGTAATGATGCCCGATTTTCTGCCCAAGAAAATATCTCCTGGCAATGCCCTAAAAAAGGGCACTTCTGGTACCTCGATGCTTGCTAATGTAAGCTACCGCTATGGCGCGGTCCAACAGTATCGTGGCTAACTTTTACCGGTAGTTGTAGTATGGAAAGTGCACAAGCAGAACTTGGTGCCGAATGGTCACATCCTAGGCTAGTTCCAGCATGTCCACTCAATCAGGGCAAAAGTATAGCACTCCAAAATGAGGCTGAGGAAAGGCTTAGCTGGATAGCTGCTATGTAAAAGCCAGCCCATGCAGCAACATATTGAGAAGGAGTTATTCTGGTCTACAGATTTTTCCTTTTGCCAGCAGTTTAACCCAATAGTATCTGTGTTTCTGAGGCTCTCAATGACAAAAGGTATATATGCACATGGGGATAATTATATCTCCTCATTACATACAGTTGTGATCATTGCAAAGTTTGTGAGATGTGGACCTTTCTTCGCAAAAGTTGAACTCTGGAGAAAATAAATACAAAGTTACCCTTGCAGTCTGGCTTTTCCCACACTGCAAGAGTAGCATTTAAAAGCGGTTTGCCTTATCTCTTGCTCCCACAGGCTTCCTCCCCTCCGTGTGACTTGTCTATGGAAAATGCTTTTTTTCGCTATGTAAAAGCCAGCCCAAGCCAAAATTTACTAGAGACAAATACCACAGGCAGGTGTTTTACTTTGAGAATTGAGAAACAGCAGTGTAAAATTGGCCAGCAGCAGGACAATTTTAATAAGCAAGGCTAAGTCCAAATTTACTTGAAACAAAGAGCACAGACAGAGGTTTTACTCCAAGAATTAAGATACTGCAGAGAATTTTGCAGTGTACAATTGGACAGTTTTAAACTGGGCCTGATCAGTGTATGACTAAATTCTAATTTTACTATGGGGACAGGGGGCTGTCCCCATAGAAAAGTGAATGTGAGCGATATTATTTGAGGTGGTTGCACACCATTCTTCCATTTAAAAAAAGAAAAAAAAAAAATCTTCCTTCAAATGATGCAGCTGCATGCTGCACATAAAAGGCAGCTCCGAGAACAGATGGTCAGTAACAAGCGAATGCTGAGCTTTGAGCTTGCTGTAGTTCAAAGGCCATGCAGTGCATTATGGTTTAAAATAATTATCCCGTGTGAATATGCACATAAATTCACCAGTAGCGCAAATCTTAAACCTGCTGGGTTTGCCTCGAACCCATGGTCGTGGAAAATCAAAATCTCACCCCTTACTCCACAGCTGTTAAAAGAAACCTATACCAAGAGAATATAGAGGCTGCAACTGCCTTTAGGATATACACGGGTAGATTTCTGAACAAGCGTTTCTACGAAAAATCCCTTCAGAACGTTTGATAATGTCATCAGAGACTTGGAGATTGTTGTTCGAAATTTCATTTGATTTTTGTATTCATTTAATATTTTGTTTTGGAATGAATGGAGTTTCCCCAAATGAAAACCACATTCACTTTTGAATTTTGTTCAATCAATACAAAATTTCCAACATGCTCCTTCAAATTATTTTGTCACTGCCATTGAAATATATATATGATGCAAGAATAGGGAGGACGGGTATGATGGTGGAATGGGGTTTAGAGGACGGGTATGATGATGGAATGGAGCACAGGGACGGAGAGGACGGGTATGATGGTGGAATGGAGTGCAGGCATGGAGAGGATGGGTATGATGGTGGAATGGGGTGCAGAGGACAGGTATGATGATGGGAAGGAGGAAAGGGAAGGAGAGGACGGGTATGATGGTGGAATGGAGTGCAGGGATGGAGAGGACGGGTATGATGGTGGAATGGATGCAGAGGACGGGTATGATGGAATGGAGTGCAGGGATGGAGAGGACGGGTATGATAGTGGAATGGGGTGCAGAGGACGGGTATGATGATGGAATGGAGTGCAGAGATGGAGTGGATGGGTATGTTGGTGGGATTGGGTGCAGAGGACGGGTATGATGGTGGAATGGAGTGCAGGGATGGAGAGGACGGGTATGATAGTGGAATGGGGTGCAGAGGACGGGTATGATGATGGAATGGAGTGCAGAGATGGAGTGGATGGGTATGTTGGTGGGATTGGGTGCAGAGGACGGGTATGATGGTGGAATGGAGTGCAGGGATGGAGAGGACGGGTATGATAGTGGAATGGGGTGCAGAGGACGGGTATGATGATGGAATGGAGTGCAGAGATGGAGTGGATGGGTATGTTGGTGGGATTGGGTGCAGAGGACGGGTATGATGGTGGAATGGAGTGCAGGGATGGAGAGGATGGGTATGATGGTGGAATGGGGTGCAGAGGACGGGTATGATGGTGGATTGGGGTGCACGGTGTCGGGTCCCAGGCTCCGTGGTGCTTGGGCCACTTACTGTCTGAACATTCCCTCCATGTCTTCTGCTGCACGGTTCAGCCTGGATGCCAGCTCGTCCCCAGCCATAGTCTCCGTCACCCGTCGCGCTCACATCTCCGGCACCCGCCATGTGATCGCACCGGCCCAACTAGTCTATTTTAATCAACTAAATCGAATCGTTGTTGCAGCTCTAGTTAGGACCACACTACACAGAAGGGCCTTGACAAGGCAGTGTGGCTTCCACTGTCTTTGTTTCACTGGTCTTGAACAAGTGGGCAGATCATGAATTTGAACTTTACACCAGCTTAGGGAGTCAGAAATGGCAGCACCCATATTTCTTTTAGTTCAAGTTTACTTTAAGAGAAACTGCATTGAAAGCTCCCTTTATTTGCTAATCTACAATGGTCTATAAATGACAACAAAAATATATAGTCTCTCCAAAATAATATAAATGTGAAAGTCTCGTCAAAACCAAGTTATGTTTATATAAACACAAATATCTCAAAATAAGCCTGGACTAAAAAAACAAAAACTACACAAATAATTTTTAAAGAACACAACATGCAGATCGTGGAAAGCTCCCTTTACTTGGTCTGGTGAACTACAGGGAAGCACATTTATGCATTACATATCATGGGATTTAAAATAGCATAATAACTGTACACTACAGAGCATACATTAAAATTTCCTTTACCTCTCTCTATGAAGTAATATGGCCGTTGGGGAAGCGATGAGGTCCGCAATTTGAATCAACTCTTTTGACTTGAACTTCCAAAACTTGATCATTTGGTCACTGCCAGCAGTGATTGCCATCTGGTTTAAGCCATCTACAGCCAATCCCCTAACTGAACCATCATGGGCTAAAGGCAAGAAAAAAAAATTTATTTTAATGCAGTGATGCATAAAGCCGCATCAACACTAGTTACCATGTACTTATCCATGAACAGCAAAAATGGACCCCAGAGCCATGTTTATTCTGTGGAGTAAAAAAAGAATTTTATACTTACCATAAAATAAATGTTCTTTCTCATTTAGGCCTCGCTGAAACTACCCTCAGTGCGTTCTAGCCCGATTGTTGGCAGAACACACTGGATCGCATTGCAACCGGCTCAGTTTATTATGGGACAGAAGGGGCCGTGGCGGTGCACTGAAGTGAATAGCACCGCAGCCACGCTCTCCGGCCGCAATGCGATCTGCCGCACAGGAACACAAGGCACATCAATGCCTGCATTTTGGCCTTGTCAGGAAAAAAAATAGTGCTCTTCAGACGTAGGTTCGTCTAGAAGCGGAAGGGAGATATTTAGAAACAGACAGTATACTGCAGGCAGAAATGATAAAGAAACTGCAAGGAACATGCAGGAGCACACTTGTGGCCTCTGTGCCATTTGGCCTATAAAGTCATGCATGACTAAAGTAAAAACCTCCTCTGATAAAGTAGAGCAGGCTTCCACGCCTGACTAAGCTAGGGAGGGCGGGAAAATTCCAAACTGCAGATGTCAGCGGCAGCAGTAGGCACACTGTAAGCAACACAAGAGCAGTTAGTGGAGTATAAGCTGGGAGCATCCAGGACAGTGGGACTGTCCCATTTCTAAAACTAGACATGATGAAACTGCAGAGTGGTGAAGCAATGTAGCACAAGGTACGAGGCAAGGCCTTAGGTACTTGCAGAACCCAACCGCAGCAGTATCAGACCGAGTACTGGAGTTCCACGTGGCACTTTGCAAAGCATGAGCAACAGCAGGATGATGCTTTCTCAACCCTGAATGACCGCAAAGAACACAGGGGTGCAACACTCCATCCGGTGGATGACAAAAGCACTTGGCCCCCCTCAAGAGGTAAAAATGGTGGAGAGCGGAAATTTCAAAGGCACCTAGCAGTTCGGTGACGAAGTAGCGTCTAGTGTGCAGCCTACTTGGCAAGTTCAGAGGTAAATGCCAATCGCTATGGATACGGAAAGCACTCCACAGCTAAGTTGTTAGCAGAACGCGGTCTGGAAAGATCCCAACATGGAACCCAATGCCACAAAGTAACCTTTAAGCTAGCACAGCAACACCCATTTCAACAAGGTCCGGGTATGGCACTCCAAAGCTAGGCTGAGGAAAGGTTGATCCAGATAGCCGTTATAGTAGAGACCAGCTCAAACAGCAATGTTGAAGAACCTTAAGGCTGTGTTCACACCTGAGCATTTTTTTATGCTCGTTTTTCTCGTTCAGTGAAACGCGCGTTTCACTGGCGGTATGTTTTTTTTTTTTTAGTTTCACTTTTAAACTTCCCGCCAGCTTCACCCCCCTGCAACGCGACGGGTCGCAAGGGACGGAACCCGGAAGTCGGCAGCTGCCGAAGACACAGCGGGGATCGCGGACAAGGTAAGACCTTATGCTGTATTCCCGAGTGTGGCTCGGGGTTACCGCTTTGTTAACCCCGATCCACACTCGGGAATACCAATGGAAACGTGCAGCAAAACGCCCCAAAGAAGCTCCTGTACTTCTTTGGGCGTAGGCGTTTTGCAGCGCGTTCCTATGCGCTGTAAAACGCCCAGGTGGGAGCCATGCCCATAGGCAATCATTGGTTTTCACATGTTGAGCGTTTTACAGCGTGTAGGAACGCGCTGTAAAACGCCCAGGTGTGAACCAGGCCCAAGTCTTTTCCTAGTAAAGAGAGAAGACAAGACATTCACCCTCCCATGGCACCAGCAAAAGACTGAGACTGGTATTAGGAGGGGGTTACCTTGGGCTGGCTTACAATTTTTTTTTCTTTCCCAGTGTCCAATTCTTCTATAGGTGTCAGTATATCCTGACAGTATATGACTTACTGTGACCATCAATGGACTAGAAAGAAATTACGTATAATAGCATTATGTACTTAAAGCCCAATGTTAGCTCCTGAAGCACCAGTTTATGTTTTTGTTTTTACATTTTTACCATAGGTCTTTAGCCCAGTTGCATGACATGCCAGCTCCTTTTCCTCTGGCATGATTTAGTAATGATGTAGTGGCATAATTCCCTGCAGTGCTCTCCTGTAAACCCAGAGCAGATAATTTATGCACTTTTCAAGGTGCAAGTTCTTGACACCCTGGGCTCATAAGAAGTGGTTTGAATGACAATGTCCACCAATTAACCCAGAAGAGGACCATTGCCAGATCGCTGAGTGGCAAGTGTGTGCGTTGGTGGTGGAGGCAAGGCAGAGATAGGAATCCTATTTGAACATCTGGTGATGAACATATGCAGCTCATGTTTTCCATTATAAAATTTGATAACTGTTACTTTTTGGAGCAAATTGTTCATACTTGTCCTACATATCACAGTCACCTAAACACAAAGTTAAATACTTGCCTGTGTCTTTTCCATAGTGGCCTCTGTGAATTCCAGACTGAATATTATATACATCCACATTGCCATTCGACAGGCCAATCACCACAAAATTGCCACAACTGGTTAACTCTACAGCCTGCAATACAAACAGATTTGAGGGTTACTTTAGGCTCAAAAACACAACCAACTGGAACTCTAAATGCAGTCTGAAAATTGCTTCCTCTAGATGTATTAGCAGTTATGAATCTGTAGCCAGACAACTTGAGGTCAAAACCTCTACAGCCACCAGCAGAAACTAGGCAGACAGGAATCGCAGCCTCCATCATTCTCAGAGACATCTCTGCCCATAGATGGCTCACCCTAAAAAAAACAACTGGTCTTGATTGAGAAACAATCAGCATCAACTGAAATCACAATGCTATCCAGCCATTAGATACAGCTTTCCTTGCAGTGGGAGAGCAACTAAAAAGATAGCTCAGCACATACTGTACATACATATTTATACTAGGAATGCACCGATACCGGTATTTTGGTACAGAGTACGAGTACCGTTATTTTTTCCCGGTACTTGCCGATACCAAATACTGAGTACTGGAAGTCCCATTCAGGAAGCCAATAATACCTCCTCACCCACAGGAGGGGCGGGCGAGCGGGGCAGCACGTACCAGCGATCGGATGGCAATTGAGCCGCCGATCGCTTGTATCTGTAACAGCCGGGCCAGTAAGGGCTGTTTGCATTAGACAGTTTTTTTTCTGCCCGTGTGCGAGCAGAAAAAAAGTGGCATTTATTTATAGCGACTCGCCAATGGGAGCTTGCCGTCCATTTTTTTTTACAACAGGCGGACGGCAAGCAGTTAGTCAAAATGTTTTTAAGCCATTTCATATGTTGAATAAGTTACATACAATAAATGCTGGTACTTAATGTTTAAAAGTTTTAGTTTCCTGCAGAATCAGCTGGTCCCCTGAGCACTGTTCATGATATCCTGTTTCAGGGTGGCTCCTTTCCCATGCAAGGTACTTATGGAACCACCCTACTAAGAGATGTGTATCTCCAGAAACAAACAGGTAAGACAAAGCAAGCCACTCCCCTGCTCCCTTCTCCAAGCTAGTAGATGGACAGCTGCTGGAGACTGTGCTGTTCCTTGTGATGTAGTACTGGAAAGAGGTTCAGGAAAAGCTGAGCTGAGAGAGTTGGAGCTGTCCATAAACAGGACTGTAAATGCTTGGCCAAAATATAAAAGAAATACTTTGCTGGTCAATGTATCTGCTTGATCGGGATTCATTATTTAAAAATAAAAAATGTTTGGAGAGTTTAAGGGATTACTAAAGGCTGGGCGTTTTTTACACTAATACATTCTCTGTATTAAAAAGGTAAAAAAACAAAAAACAAAAAAACAAACCGCCTAGTACCTTTTTGAGCCCCCTGTCCCACCCACCACACACACTTACCTGTCAGTGTCGCTCGTCACCACCGCGGGTCCCCCGAAGCGATCCTCCATCCGAACTTCCTGGTTGCGAGAGAGGAGATTGAGGGCAGAGGAGTGATAGGCTCCTTCTGTCGTCAATCAACCTGTTGAGCGGAGAGGAGGAGTGTGGTCTACGCGTCTATGGACACACAACAGCCACGGCTGAGCACGAGCACGCACGGGTGCCTTCATAGCTCAGCTTAGCCTTAAAACTACCATACCCCAAATTGGCCATAGGCGGCGCTTTAAAAGCTTTTACTGCTCATTAGTTTAGTGTTAACAGTGATTGACGGCCCTCAAATTATTGCTTGCACGTTCGCTGTGATAACACACACGTACATAGACGCACCAGACGCGTGCGTGGACTTTAAAAAATATTTTTTTGTTTTTCTAAATGCGACTAATTTATTTATTTTTTAACACAAAGTGATATTAAAGCTTAAGTTTTTTTTTTTCCCCCATCTAGGGAGGTTCACCTTTTCATAAATTGTCTGTTCTTCAAAAAGCTATTCCTCATTTTCTAGCGAGTCCCCGCAGCGCTCATTCCCCCACCCCCTGCACGGTAGCCACGAGCAGCTGATATGGGAGGTGCGTGCGAGCACACATAGCACTGCGGCTGGCCATGCCCTTCCTCTCCTCCCTAAAGGGTGATTGGCTGCTCTGCCCTCAGTATCCCCCCCCCCCCCCCAATGGGAGGATCGCTTGTGGAACTGGCAACAGTGACAGGTAAGTGTGGGGAGGGGGATGGGGGAACACGAAAAGGTACTCTTTTTTTACCTTGAAGCAGAGAATGCATTAAGGTAAAAAACGATCAGCCTTTAATACTACTTTAACTTTTTTGCTATCACATAGGGGATAAGAAGCGCCCTATGCGATAGCAAAGAGGTGTGACAGGTCCTCTTTATGGGGACATCATGGGTTTTTTAGACCCCTGTCACCTAGGGACACCAAAGAAGCTGATGAAGCAGAGATCTGCGTCACCAGCTTCTCTTTGGCTACAGCCGGAGAAATGACAACTGAAGGTGCAAGTGATATAATTACATATCACTTCTGCATTCAGAGATCGGAGCGGACATCAGCAGGAGATTGTGTGATGGTACAAAATGTTCACTTGCTGCCTAATATATCCCACCCACTTCCAGGTGCCATTGTAACGAGAAATACCGCACTGCTATCACTGCCAGACACCCGATCGCTAGAAGGGATTGGGCATCTGTAAATGCTTAACTCTTTCATTATTGGATGCCTCAATACTGAGGCATCCATTAATGAACGGTAATCGCTGTAGCGGCATTACAGATCCCCAAATAGTTGCTCAGGTACAGTGTACGTGAGCAGTCATTTGGGCACTTAGTAGTGGGGACGTACAGCGTACGTCGCCCGTCACTAAGGGGTTAAAAGACCAGGGTGTTTATTAGGGATGCACCGATACCGAGTATTTGGGGGAGCACTCATACTCGCCCAAATGCTCCGATACCGGAACATGGAGCCGGCTTCCTGGGCAATCATAATTGAGGTGGCCAAACACGGAGCCGGCTTCCCAGGCAATCAGGAAGCCGGGCGGCTTGTCATTACCTGCCGCCCGGCTTCCTGATTGCCTGAACTATAATCAAAATAATAAAACAATTTTAGAAATGTAAAAAAATAAATATATAATTATATATAAAAATAACCTCTTTAAACATTCCACATTTAAACCCTATTAAACCTAGGTTATTAATAACCATTCTTTTCTTATATCTCATTCAATTCTACTTTTAACTTGTAGCAATACAATAAAATGCAAACAAAAATTATTTTATTTGCAAATAACTTCTCATGCTTTATACCAGAAACATACTTTTAGTTTTATATAGATGCGGTGATTTGCAGAATAAAATGTGTCCTTTTTATCTACAGCAGTTTTTTTTTACATTTTCGCTGGTCAAAAGTAGAGAAAAAAAATTTGTACACAAAACAAAAGGCTACACAAAGCCAACATTTGTTCTCAAATCAATAAGCCAATAGCAAGAATGTAAAAATGACTCTAGTGTGCATACAGGTGGGCGAGCTCAGGTGTTTTCCCCTGAAACTGTTAAATACCTGATTCTCAAATCTTTTTCACTAAGGTAAAAAAAAAAAAACAGTATACAGTGCACAACAACCACTTCTAACCATTCATTTTATGTAATATTCTTGAGTTCTTTAACTCAGACTAGAAGTATCCATACTCACTGTTGCATAAATGTCCCGTGGCTTGGTATTCTTGAGATCGGGTGGCATTAGCTTGTGAGCTCCCATAGTAGACCTCACATAATTCCAAGTGGTACACCTTAGTGAATTCTGATGACATGCAATGATACCATCCCAGTCATTCTGTCGTGAGGTCTCTAAAATACAGTACAGCAGTCTGTCATATATTGTCAAGTAAACTGTTCCTAATTAGAACACAGAATAATATGACTGACAAATACCTTTAGAACCTGAGAAATGCCATTTTGAAAGTAAAATTTGCTATTTAAGAATGTTTATGTTGCAAATTTAGTGACACGGAGAAAACAGAAGAATGAAGAAAGACATTTTCATACACCATCAAAAGTGTCATCTATACTGAAATAGCTTTTAAAATAGTCCTAAGTTCCTCTCTGCATAAGGGTGTCCATCATACAAGTGGTCTAGAGGCCCATACAAACTATTGATTTGCGGTAACGCACGTTACATGCCTTCATTATGGACGGCACCTCAATGCACCTTGCCGACAGAGCCCCCACTCAAAGCACTTTTACTGAACACACATCTATAGTGGATACAAGGCATCTATGCAGCCCTGTAAAAAAATAGATACAAAAAAAAAAAAAAGAGACCAAGATCACTTCACAATTTTTTCCACCTTTAAATATGACCTATAATCTGTGCAATTAAATTTAAGAAAATGAAAAAATAAAACAAAGTGGCTGTATAATTGTACACACCCTCTTATAAATAGGGATGTGGCTATGTTCAGAATTAACCAATCACATTCAAACCGATGTAAATAGTAGTCGGTACACACCTGCATTCAATTAAAGTGGTTCTGATTAAACCCATATAAAGTTCAGCTGTTCCAGTAGGACTTTTCTGACATTTATTCAGTTGTCTCTTACACCAAAAGCCATGCTACGCAAAGAGCTTACAAAGCACCAAAGAGATCTCATTGTTGGAAGGTATCATTCAGGAGAAGAGTATCAAACATTTTTCAAAGCATTAGATATATCATGGAACACAGTGAAGACCGTCATCAAGAAGTTAAAAAAATTAAGGCAACGACATTACGAAGAATTGGATGTTCATCGAAAACCGATTATTATTATTATTGATTTATATAACGCCAACAGTTTGCGCAACGCTTTACAATACAAAACAAGAAAACTGTTTTGTATTTCCAAGAGGTCTACAGCAACATTAAAAGGAGAACTATGAGGCGAGTGCTATGGGCTGTAGGGAACGGTGGCAAGATGGTAATCATCGAAGCCCGGCTAAATTTTTGAAAAACCTACATCAAGTCTAACAAAAGCATGTGGGAAGATATGTTATGGTCATAGGACCAAAATTTTACTTTTTTGGGCATAATTCCAAAAAGTATGTTTGACGCAAACAATACTGCACATCACCAAAAGAACACCATACCCAGATGGAAGCATGGCGGTCATAGCATTATGCTTTGGGGTCGTTTTTCTTCAGCTGGAACTGGGGCTTTAGTCAAGGTAGAGGGACTTATGAACAGTTCCAAATATCAGTCGATTTTGGCACAAAACCTTCAGGTCTGTGCTGAAAAGCTGAAGATGAATTTCACCTTTCAGCATGTCAATGACCCAAAGCATACCTCTAAGTCCTCAAAAGAATGGTTTCACCAGAAGATGATCAACATTTTGGAATGGCCCAGCCAGAGCTCAGACCTGAATCCAATTAGAAATCTGTGGGGTGACCTGAAGAGGGCTGTGGACAGGAGATGCCCTCGCAATCTGACAGATTTAGAGCGCTTTTGCAAGGAATAGTGTGCAAAGATTCCCAAGCCAAGATGTGCCGTGCTATGCCATGCTGATAAGAATCCTACCCCAAAAGTCTGAATGCGTTCATAAAATCAGAAAGTGATTCATCAAAGTACAAGTTTATGGGTGTGCATATTTTTGCAACTACGTTATTGTAAGTGGTTTTATTCCCCCCTTTAAACATTTCAGTTTTGTTTTTTTTGGAATTGCACAAGTTATAGGTCGCATTAAAAGGTGGAAAAAAAATTCAAAGCGATTTGTTTTTTTTTTCCTCTCAAAAACCTGGCATTTTTACTGGGGTGTGTAGACTTTTTTTTATATCCACTGTATATACTCCTGCACACAAATACGGTACATATAATGCCTAATTTTTTGGTAAACCGTGAGAGATGAGGTTGTGTCACCTAAATAGAAATAATAGGTCAGGCCTCAAAAAATTGCACGTTCCGGTGAAGCAGCAAAAAACTGCAGTACCCATAAATCGTTTATAGGTAATGCTTTAAAAGCCTTTACACCTCAATTTCAAAAGGGAACATCAAATGATGGCCCTAGAATTATTGATCTCACTCCAGCTTACATGTTGGATTAGTTTCTCTGTATCTTGCACTTTATTACTTAATTATTTAGTTCATAGTTTAGTTAGCTAAAGTAAATAAGGGGGTCTAAGATGTAGCAACTATAAAAGGTATTTATTCCTTTTGTTTTTCTGAAGCTTTTCAAATGTAATTTGATATTTCAAGGTCCAGTTCCAGAGACTTACTCAAATTATGAAAATTACACCAAAGGATGAAAGTTTAGGCAGAATAGTTTAGGCAGAATACATACCAGAGGCAAATGATATGATAGGAGGAAGTCTTAAAGATGCTCCACGTGAGCCCATTTTTTTAGCTTTGGCTTTATTTATAGAACCTGGTGATGAAAAAGAAAAAAAATATATTATGTTTATAAGGCTGTAAGGCAGGGTCAAGAGGATTTCATGTGTTTAAACTAGACCCCAAGTTTTCACATGCAAGTATTATTATCAATTTGTATCAGTATTCTTTATGTAATGTCGATTTACCTCCTGGCTGGTGTAACTGAGTTTCCGAGTTGCGGAAAGCAGAAAAAGGAACCAATTTCAGGTGCTGTCAAATAATGTTACCAGGGCCGGGCCAAAGAGGCAGAAGTGACTACCTTGGGTCCCTCATGGGAGTGTGGGGGTGTATTGGTCAAACCAATACTACTGAAATAGTTTAAACTAGGGATGCACAGTATTTCAGTATCGAGTACCAATATTTTTTTTGGTACTCGCCGATACCGAATACAGGGTACCGGAAGTCCCATTCAGGAAGCCAGGCGGTGTGTAATGACTCGCCACCTGGCTTCCTGATTCGCTGGGAAGCATGTAAAGACTCGCCACCCGGTTTCCCGATTAGCAGGGAATCCATCCCCATGCTTCTTGTAACTAGGTGACGAGAAAGCATGGAGCCGGTTTTCTGGCCAATAAGAGAGGCAAGCGGTGTGTAATGACGCAGTGCGCGGCTTCCTGATTGGCGACGAGGGAGCATGAAGCCAGCTCCCAACCAATCAGAAAGCCGGGTGCCACGTCATTACAAGGTGCTTGGCTTCCTAATTGGCCAGCTTCCGGTCAATTGGGAAGCCGGGCAGCTCGTCATTACATGCTGTGCGGTTTCCTGATTGGCCGGCAAGCCTTCCGGCCAATCAGGAAGCCGGGCAGCGTGTAATGCCCAGCTTCCTGATACCGGAAGTATCTAGCTAGGCATCGGAGCACTTGGGTGAGTACGAGTACTCGCCCAAATACTCAGTATCGGTGCATCCCTAGTTTAAACCTCATGGTGGTAGAGGTGCACTTTGGCCTAGGGTGCTAAAAGGATTGTCCCGGAACTGTATGTTACAACACTAAGGGCTACTATCAGTAAACACTCACTGGTCAAAGGATAATGTGTAAATGTTCAAACGAAGCTTTGACTTAAAACCAGGAATTACCTTTTCATTCGGTCTAATAAATATATGTAAAGTTGTCGCAGAGGTGTGTATATATCTGTATTCTGCAGAACATTTTAAAATAATTTACTATGGTGCAATTGCATTGAGTCTTTGCAGGTGCTCTGTACTGGAAAAGTAATATACTAGGACAAAAATAATTCTAGAGTAGAGGGAAGTTTTACCTTGTTTAGGACAAAAATAATTCTAGAGTAGAGGGAAGTTTTACCTTGTTTAGGACAAAAATAATTCTAGAGTAGAGGGAAGTTTTACCTTGTTTAGGACAAAAATAATTCTAGAGTAGAGGGAAGTTTTACCTTGTTTATTACCATATCACATAACATTTTCATACCTTATTGTTATCAAACAGTTAGGAATTAAATGTTCATTACCTGCACAAAAAAGTTATAAAAAAGGTATACAAAATGGTCAAAATAACCTGTGGTCACAAGGACTGTTAAACATGACCCGGGATACTGAAATCTGAATCTGGCTCTAAATGTACTGTTAACTTACCATGGCCAAGGCTTTTATTATAACTGTCATGAACTGTGGAAAATGTACGCAAGGTCCCATCTTGACCTGAAAAATTAAAACGCAATGATTTTTTTTGTTATATACCATGGTAAAAAAGTTTTTATATGCAGGTACAATGTGCTCAAATTTAAAAAAAACACACAAACAAAAAACATTTTTTTATATCCACCTGCACTGAGGATCTGCTTGCCATCTAGACCATGATGTCGAATGAAAGTGGGTGGAGCACTGTGACCCATGCGGAACCTGAGTAAGCGCCCCTGGCCCCCTGGGCCGTCAAAGATCCACACCTGATTAGAAAAAGACCATAGTAGGATGAGTTCAGAGTGCTTGATACACCCATTACATAATGTGCAAGGCTCCAATGGATATGAAAAGCACAAAGATGATCAGGAGCATCCAGAGTGTGTATATGTAACAAAGTCAACTAAATAAATTATTATTCATTAGTAAATGTAAAGACAAAACTTTTAGGTGTTGGATAGAGTAGGGATTTCCCCTAATTTTCTGTCATGGAGACGCAAGAAAACGTGAGAGGAAATCTCCCTAATGTGAAGTGAATTTCCATCTTCCGATTTTGGCCGGACCGCACTGCCTCGCGGCCGGCTCACTTTTTAGTGCTACAAGCACTATTTTGATCGCATCGCACAGGGCCGGACCGCAGGCACAATGTGCCTTGCGATCCCGTGCGGCGGATCGCATTGCGGCCGGAGGGCGTGGCTACGCCCCCATTAGTATAGGGATGTTCATTTTGGGCCAGCTTGGCCTAAACTAACTAAAAGGTATACATTGTATACCCCGCCTATAAGACAACCCCCGATTTTTGGGGGATGATTTTAAGTATAAAAAGTAGTCTTATACGCCAGCAAATACAGTAATACATATCTATAGATATAGCTCTATATCTATAGATATAGAGCTATATCTATAGATATAGATATTCTACCCAACATACTGGTCAGATAGCACAATCCCAAGCAAAAACTGCCAAAGACTGGACCCTATGGAGTTGTTAGCAGAATTTTACAATGAGCTTTACCAAATACAGCTGTTGAGAAAAAAAATACAACTTTAAATGTTTTTTTGAGTGTTAGTCAAGGATGCACCAAACAGATGAGGCATACACATTGTCATACCCGTAATGCATTATCTGCAGCATTGGTAATGAGCAAGGGTTCTGCATGAACAAATGTTAGACCAGCAATAGCCGTGGAATGAGCATCCCTCATCTGGCTCATCAGTTTCTTTTCCTCCAAATCCCACAGACCTATGTGACCAATGGGGCTCCCAGCTGCCATTATTGGATGTCCATCTGCAAGATAAACAAAACTTTAAATAGACTGACAGTTTTAAGTAAACCTCTATTACACTTGAAGACAAACTTTTTGTTTTTTTTGTTTTGGTGTGTGAAGAATTCAAACTTCCATCAAGTTCAAAATTTTTTTGTCTGTGCCCAAATTGGAGAGATTTCTCATTCAGAGATTGTATCCCAATACAATTTATTTTCTCTTCCTGCTCTGTACAAAACCTGCAAACTCGACAGGAAATTAGGAAAATACACAGACAGCAATACATTGCTGACAGAAGTTCTAGATTTTACTGGAATATATGAAAATGCACATGCACCTTGTGGGCAAGAGTCTCTAGAGGCTTAGCGCCATCTGTTAAAGCACATGTCTGGAATGAATATCAACTTGGAGATGGGCGCTGGACGTGGTCATTACACAAAATGTACATGCATATTATAAATATATATATTTTTTTTTTTACACACACCTGCTGCTTGAAGGAATGCAGCAGGCACCAGTCTCATGCCATTGCTAGCAGTCCCCCTACTTCAACATCCTCTGTTGCTACTCAGTTTGCTTTGCATTTCAAGTCATGGCTCTGCCCTCTAATTTCACTCTTAATTCCAAAGTAACAACCAGAGGAAATGTTATAAAGTTTATAAAACAGCAGAAGGCTATGTGGAGCCTTTAATACCCATGGTCTATGTTCAGGAAAGGCATGCCAGTCATGTGATCAAGCACCAAATAAAACCAAAAATCTAATATTCAGCTTTGCCTAGACATATATTTATCAGTAATGTTCCTTAATATTAGAGATGAACCCATAAGTTTGCAATTGGTAAAACACAACATTATGGTTCACTAAAAGCTCAATTTTACTAGCCTAGGGGAATACAGAATGATTACTAATTGTGAGAAAAGGAACACAATTTTTTTTGGTTTTCTTTGAGAAGACATTGTTTATTGTCTACTAAAATTCTAGATCAGCTTTAGTCAATTAGGGCTTCATGGAAGACAAGGATTCCTACAGAGGGTGCTAAAGGTTGCTTAATAAGTGAGTAGCAGCAAATTGACCTCCCATCGAATAAAGCTTGCATGGCAACATCACTGAGCAGAGTGAGCAAGCAAGGGAGCAGTGGTGTCTCTCGCTTGCCTGACCACCAATGCAAGGGGGCGTTTATTTACCAGCCTCTTTAAGAGGACAATACAAATTTCAGTGCCAGCATTTCTTTTATGGTCATTAACAATAAAAGAGAACTATGGGGCAAGTGTTTTTCCCCATAGTTCTCTTTAGGGTCAGGGGAGGACATATACTAACCTCCTCCTGTGACCCAAAGCTCAGTATATCACGGGCTATTGCTTGCTATATACTGAGAGCGCCGCAGCCAGGACTGTCGAGATCCACACAGCTGCGTGAGTGACAGCTGGCTCTGCCTATCTAGAGGCAGAGCCAGCTGTGCCTGCCCCTCCCCCTTTCGTTCCTCCCTTCAGCGCTGGAGGATCAGAGAGGGGAGGGGGAATCCCTGCGGGGAGCGGTGACCAACAGTCACCGCTCACTACAGGGAGACTATCAAGAAGTGAGCGGATCGGTGCATGTTTCTGCTCACTTCCCAATCGATAGAGAAAACCGGTGACAGCTTCTTTGCCACAGGTGGGCTCTAACTTTGAGGATATGGAAATCACTCACCTTATAGTTCTCTTTAAGGTGTATGTAAATAAAACAACTTTTAGCAGGAGTTCCCTTAAGGTTTTTTTTTATATTTAAAGATTTTAATTTTAAAACCTGGCTCAAACATTTGCTTTGATTAAATCATTCTCCAGGCTGATCTGCTTGCCCTGTGTCTGGTTTCTGGACACAAGCGCTTAAAGAAGCATGCATGCACTGGCATGCAGTCACCTGATGGTGCTACACACTACAGTTAGAAACTTTAAATCCATTACCTCATCTGAAACAGGTTGTCCCCTGACTGTCTAGCAAAATGACACATTTTCACCATTTTATTTACAAACAGCATGACTATGGGCCAGGCCTATGATCCACATCATTTACTTTAGAAACCAGATCAGTGTATGTAATGTAACAGGAATCTAGGCTTGTAAAAGACAAAGCAAACCTTGGCTAGGTAATGTACAACCCAGTATAACATTCAACACATTTTTTTATGCATTCTTTAACTTTTAATAGGAATACCTTTATTATGAATAATGGTATTCATAAGCAAGTAACAAGCAGAGTGAATGTATTACAACAGGATAAACGTCACCTTTATGGCGAGCATAAATGTCAATTTTCACTGGCTGCTGTATACAAATTAAGCATTTCAGGGAGCTTCTGAGTTGCTGTAATCAAAATGTGAGTCAATGCAGGGAGATCGTCAAGATTATCGTAAAGGAAAAATTGAAGGACAGAAGCATTTTGGGATTTGTTACCTGTTCCCATTCACATAGCATTAGGCAAGAAAAAAAATATTTAAAAAAAATGCTTCCTGCAGTTTAAATTAATTTTACTTGGCTTCTTAGGGACTAAAATTTCTACTTGGCTTCTCCTTCTTTGTAATTCCAGAAGGGGTTATGAGGGGTTTGCATTGTATGTTAAAGTGAGACTAAACTCAGGAGTTAAATCTTAAAAATGCATTCAACTACCTCAACTATTAACAAAAATGTATCATATTTGTGCATCACTCAGCTGTCAACCTTAAAATCTCTGAATTGGTGCTGACACTGTCCTTCCTTCTGAAGGGTGGCTACTTTTGTTCTACATGGTCCCTGTGTGTGTTGTAAAGTACCCACTGCTCCAAGCTTGCTCCGTGATGCACTACAATCTCACGTTTAGTTTAATAATTTGTATTGAGATTGTAGTCCATCACGGGAGCGAGCTTGGAGCAGTGGCTACTTTACAACTTTGATACTGGGAGACAACATTATGTTTGTTGTGCTCATGCGTTGTCACCCTACAACACAGGGCACTCATGGAGACTACAAATAGCCATTTCAACAGACAGTAACAAAGGCATGTTCTAACCCGTAATAATCCGCGCTCCTAACCCATAGCTGCTGTATTTTCAGTGAACCTACACCGCAATATCAGTTACAATGCAACAGAGAATAGCACTTAATATAAGTAATAAGAAATGTATAATCATTTTTTATGGTGGAAGAGCACTGGATTGATTTTATGAGTTTGTCTGTATATACGTGCATGGTTTTTTTCTGCGGCAATTATATTGAGCTATTGCCCTTATTACCAAATATCAAGTGCTGTATTCTGTTGGATTGTAACTGATATTGCAGTTAAAAAAAGCATGGTCCACTGTTCTCACCATCAAGAAGCGGGAACTGAGAAATGCCAAGTCACCATTGCTGAAGTACATGCATAAAGACCTGGTTGGCCAACCCTAAATTCCTGAGCATGTAGTAATGACACGACATTGAAAAAAAATGTGCTGATCCTTTCACTGTGACAAGGCCATCATGGCCTTGATTTTATAGTACATTGTTACTTGGGCTTTATAGAAAAAAATATCTTTACTAGCAGACTGCTCAACTCAGATCTGTTTCCTGGAGTGCATTGAGGGACACCAGTAGAATTTAACCTCCTGGTTATATTGCTGCCTACAGGAGAATTGGACAATGGCAAAACAAAAACAAAAAAATTGACCAGCCTAGTATAACCCCTCCTACTATCAGTATACCTCAGTTTCATCCCATCCCAACAGTCTGGCATCAATGGTGAGGATCCTCCAAAAACGATAAAAAAGCAATTCTAACTGCAGAGACGGATTCCTGGAACAACCTGGTTCTTGGCAACAGGTAAAACGTGTGTTCGGGGAACAAATCTGACTTGTCCCTCAAATACAGAGGGGGGAATTTATCAAAACTGAAGCAGACAAAATCTGGAGCAGTTGCCCATGGCAACCAAACAGCTTCTCTCTTCAGTTTAGGTTTGAAAATGAAAGAGATGCTGATTGGTTGCCATGCACAGCTGCTCCTGGATTTTGTCTGCTCCAGTTTTGATAAATTACCCTCAATGTTGTAAGAGGTCTGGAATGAAACTGAGAAGTTGAACTGCCTCGAAAGAGGCTACCATCCGACCTAGGCATGAGTCAGGTGGCTCCAGGACTGGAGAATTCGAATCAGATATTGGCGTGTCTGAAGTTTCTTGTGGAAGGAACACTCTGGCCTGAGCAGGGTCCAGGAATAGACCCATACACACCAAATGATAAGTTGGTTCCAGTGATGAGTTCTAATGTTCAGGAACTATCTGAATCTTTACAACGTCTGGATGGTCAACGTCATGTTGTCTGACAGAGTCTGCGCCAACAGGTTCCTCAACAAGAGGTCATCCAAGTATCCCACAAAAATGCAGAAAGTCTAAAATTGATGTCAGCACTTTGGTTAATACCCAGAGGTGCAGAGGAGAGATAGAAGGGTAGGGTCAAAAACTGGTAGTGCAAGGGTCCAAGAGAAAAGCGTAGGAATCTCTGTTGCGCTGGAAAAATAGGGACATGCAGGTAAGCAACTTTGATGTCCACAGAGGCTAGAAAGTCTCCCTAATGAATGGAGGTGATGACCGATTTCGTAGATTCCATGCGGAAAATTTTGACTTAAATGAGGAGATTCTGGAATAGAGGGGGGGAGGGGGGGGAAGAACACACATGAAAAGAAAGAAAAAGTGCATTTATGTATTGCATTTGAGTCGGCAAAGCATTGCAACTGTGACCAGTGGGTTGGAGGTGCAATGCTTTGGCTTCTGCAGGCTCTTCCTCCCAGCCCATCTCTACCAGGTATTGACTTTCAGGTAAGGGACAGGGGGAAGTATGAATAGACTACAAGTGTGATGATGTCAAAGCACTTGTATTCCTCCATTGAGATTTTACTTTGCTGCGGTGGCACCTCCCATTTCACATATGCTATCAGCAGGCCCGGATTTCCCACAAGGCCACCGAGGCCCGGCCTCGGGGCAAGAGATGCACTGAAATACAGCTAGAGAATCAATAAAACTAAGCCATATACTGTGGATAAATCGCACTATGCATCCGAAGTCATAAAACTTATGACAAATGGGATTAAGGTCACAAAATAGTGGGGAAATATATATCAAGGCATTAGAGAAAATATAAATAAACTTATTTGCATTCATGTTGTAGGTAAATATTGAAGCAAGAGCAGCAGTCAGGCAACTAGCATTATCAGAAGGGTAGGTAAAAAATGGCAGGCGCAATGGTTTTCTCATGATAGATTTCCTTTAAGGTTATGAAGGCTGATATAACCAAACTGTGTGGACTCACCTGTTCGGAAGGATATTGCAGTAATAGGGCCCCAATCTTGATGAAAAGTCATCAGTGTTTCATCAAGTTTGATGTTGTGTACAATAATTTTACCACTTGTCAGCCCAACAGCCACCACATCAACTGCTGGAGCCTAGAAATACAAGAAAAACTATTTTAAATGCAGTCAGTATAGCAAAAAGAAGAAGAAGTCGGCAACCTCAGCACTCTAGCTGTGGTGAGACTGCAAGACCTATGAGGCATTGCAAGACCAACAGCAACACGGATGGCTCCCAAAGACAGACGTATGAAGAGGATTATAGTAGACAAATTATTATTACACAGGATTTATATAGCGCAGTTTCTGCTATACAAATCCTGAACAAGACAAGAATTTATAAGAAAGAATTTATTCGAAAGATTTCAGCCACTGGGATGTGAAGACTGCTATGGTTGTGGCTTTGAGATTAAGGCAACTGACAACCAAGAATGTTTCGGCTAGCATTTCACTTTAAAGTGTATGTATAGCTTGAGACGTAACGGGAAGAGAGAGGAGATCTCCTCAAAGTATGGGGAATTCCCGTCTTATACAGTTGACACCAGAACAGGTCTACATTAGATAACTTGCCCACAAGTATTCTCCAGGTTACCAAAATTTCAATTTCTCATCATTTTCTGTTTCAGAGACAATAGTAAACAGGACAAATGGAGGGGTGAATCCACTTAGTAGGAAGACAGTGCAATAAAAGCTTGATAGAGGGTCTAACCCTTCAAAGACTATGTGCTCTGTCATTATAACATGTGACTACTTAAAGGAGAACTGAGGCGAGTGCTTTTCACTCACCTCATAGTTCTAGCCGACCTGTGACAATGAGACTGTCACAGGTCGGCTCAGTAGATCGGGAGGTGAGTGAACACATGCCGGTGTTCGCTCACTTCTTGATCCTATCACGGCTCTCTGCCGTGACAGGGGAGGGGATGGATTCCCCCCTCCGATCCGCCAGCGCTGACTGGCGGAACGGACGGGGGAGGGGACAGCTGGATCTGCCTCTAGATAGGCAGAGCCAGCTGTCACTCACGCAGCTGGGTGGATCTCGACATCGATGTCGGGATCCGCTCTGGCGTCTCAGTATACCGCAAGCTGTAGCTCGCGGTATACTGAGCCTAGGGTGACGGGAGGACGCTAGTTTGTGTCCTCCCGTTACCCTAAGGAGAACTATGGGAAAAGAAGAAGAAGTCGGCAACCTCAGCACTCTAGCTGTGGTGAGACTGCAAGACCTATGAGGCATTGCAAGACCAACAGCAACACGGATGGCTCCCAAAGACAGACGTATGAAGAGGATTATAGTAGACAAATTATTATTACACAGGATTTATATAGCGCAGTTTCTGCTATACAAATCCTGAACAAGACAAGAATTTATAAGAAAGAATTTATTCGAAAGATTTCAGCCACTGGGATGTGAAGACTGCTATGGTTGTGGCTTTGAGATTAAGGCAACTGACAACCAAGAATGTTTCGGCTAGCATTTCACTTTAAAGTGTATGTATAGCTTGAGACGTAACGGGAAGAGAGAGGAGATCTCCTCAAAGTATGGGGAATTCCCGTCTTATACAGTTGACACCAGAACAGGTCTACATTAGATAACTTGCCCACAAGTATTCTCCAGGTTACCAAAATTTCAATTTCTCATCATTTTCTGTTTCAGAGACAATAGTAAACAGGACAAATGGAGGGGTGAATCCACTTAGTAGGAAGACAGTGCAATAAAAGCTTGATAGAGGGTCTAACCCTTCAAAGACTATGTGCTCTGTCATTATAACATGTGACTACTTAAAGGAGAACTGAGGCGAGTGCTTTTCACTCACCTCATAGTTCTAGCCGACCTGTGACAATGAGACTGTCACAGGTCGGCTCAGTAGATCGGGAGGTGAGTGAACACATGCCGGTGTTCGCTCACTTCTTGATCCTATCACGGCTCTCTGCCGTGACAGGGGAGGGGATGGATTCCCCCCTCCGATCCGCCAGCGCTGACTGGCGGAACGGACGGGGGAGGGGACAGCTGGATCTGCCTCTAGATAGGCAGAGCCAGCTGTCACTCACGCAGCTGGGTGGATCTCGACATCGATGTCGGGATCCGCTCTGGCGTCTCAGTATACCGCAAGCTGTAGCTCGCGGTATACTGAGCCTAGGGTGACGGGAGGACGCTAGTTTGTGTCCTTCTGTTACCCTAAGGAGAACTATGGGAAAAAACCCTGACCCCATAGTTCTCCTTTAATGTCACTCCTCATACCTGGACTTTGTTCAGAAGCTTGCAGTGCTAAAATGGCTCCTATATTCCAGAACAGCCTACAGAGTGTAAAGTAGAGCTTTCCTATGTTAGTATGAAGACAGGCCTATCAGATATTATTTTACGGATGATCATTTTCCTAAAATTTAGCAAATATAAACAAATTCCTACTTCACTTAGTAGACTGCTATGGTAATTGTGATGCAACAACCTTATTTGCATACCTGCTGAAGAACAGTAACACCAGTTTCCCAGCCTTTGAATGTATACAGATGTTTGCTAAGAAGGGGGAAAAAAAAGAAGTACTTTTTAAGCATACAGAAATATTTTTTTCAAGCAAACAATGTTAAAGCCTAACAAAGCTCTTGTTCCCTGCTGAGTGGAGAGCTCTAGCTCTGACTCAGCATGGGGCATGTCAGATCTCTGCTTCTACAAGAAGAGCAAGGGTCCTTCTCTGCAGCATGCAGTCAAGACACAAGCTTTTCTAGCCAGTCAGTAGCTTGCTTTCTAAAGAAAACATGTGTTGTTATGAAGCACCTGCAATGTGCTTAGCTAATTTAAACTGAAGGTTTACATACACACCAAAGTCTGGCTGTGGCCTGTTACTGCTGAAATAGCTAACTACTATTCAATCCCACAGCTCAGTGTTTTCCAAATTATGTTCGGGAAGCATTCAAGCAATGCTTTACCCTTACACTGCCCGCAACATAAGGTTTAATTAGCAGCACTGACATGGAAATAAACTCCCAGCTGCTATACCCAGGACTATCATGGCCGGTGTCAGGAGGGAGAATAGTGGCAGATGAGTAAACAACTGTTCACTGATTGCCCCTGTGAATAATGAACCCAGAAGCGCTCAGCTCTGATCACGTCTGGGTTCAAAACTGTCACTCGTACAAGAACAACAATTGTGCCACACGTATAAATTATTCTTGTGCATGCTGAAGTGATAGCAATAATTCTAGGGTCATCATTCACTGTTAAAATGATGAGCTGCGCAGGCTTTGAAAGTGTCACCTATGAACAATTTTGGTTACCATTGTTTTTTGTAGTTTCCCCAGGCACAGGAAAAAAACCCGCAAAAAAAACCCAACACCACGGCACGATTAACTGATTGTTCTTGTTTAGGGGGATTCTGTAAAGGACTTTCATGTATCTGAACGCCGCTCCAAAACCAGCAGCGTTAACCTATAGATTATCTGCAGATGGTCAGATGGAAAAAGTGCAACATATTCCTCCATCTACGCTAAACTGTGGGGATGGAGGAATCTCCCACTGGGCCAAGCTTCGGTATCTTGCTATTCGGCCCAGTTGGCTGTCAAATATCACACATACCAGAAGGCTGCAGGTGCTTAAATCTTGCCACATTTCATGCATGCATAGTTGATAGCTGCTCGCCATGGAGGATCTCCTGCTCTGCATGAAGGAGCCAGCCACCAATGATGTAACTTTGAAAACTGCGGCGTGGGATAGTAGAGTGCAGAGTCCGCAGAGCAATGGGATTCAAAATGCTGTTATTATACTGGTCCAGTAAGCAAGTCAATTTGGCTGTTTCAAAGTGGATTTGTTTATACTAGACTTTGAAGCAGAACTCAAGATTTCATTTTTTTTTAGTGAGTTGGGGAACAAATAGTCAGCTGTAATGAAATCTATGCCACCTCCATCATCGCTTCACATTCTTTCCTAATTTAACTTTTATTCATGCTGGAAAGTAGAGCTATTGCTATTACTTCTTGTACTGAGACAGGAGAGCAGAGATCTCATTTGATTGCCCCTCCTTTCCCTTTGTCCATTCACAGAATGCATGCACAATGCCACAGTCACTGTCCTCTGTGCCTTGTAATTGCTGTAATGGCCAGTCACAGAAATCACGAATGTGATGCGAACGCCTGTGTTTATATACGAGAGCCCTCCCTTCCTCTTACAATGGAAAGAGGAAGGAGTATCTAATGAAGGATTTAATGAATGATGGGGAGGCAGCAGCAGATTAAAGGGGGGATTGTTTTATTTATTTTTAACTCTTTCATGCCCTCCCTTTCTTTCTTTTGTACATCTCCGTCCCGTTTCTGTAGTGACCTGTATATTATGGCTTTCACCTCTCATCCTGCACATGAACCCTCATTTCCATTTTCACACTATATGTAACCTGAACATTAACCCCTTCACCTCCTCATTGTGTATGACCTTTACATTATTGATGCACCGTATCTAGTGCAGTATTACCAAGCTCCATGTTTTACCCGCAATACCAAAAAATTGTGGGGGGGGATAATAACATCAGATCACTTTGAGAGGTCTACTTTAGGAGAAAAAAAAAAGGGAGGTAATTTAGGGGATGTTTTGTACTGTCTTTACATTTTTATGTTTCATAACAGAAAGGGAAATTATTTAAAATTGTGTCATTTTTCCGTTATGCAAGAAGCCCAGTGATTATTACAAACCACCAAAGGAAATACTTAAGAGGTTAATCTTTACTTACTTGGATTTGACATTCCACAGCTGAAGTGTTCCCTGCTGGCTCCCCAAAAGAATTTTATTTAAGTAGGTACTTGGGTGCATTATTGCAGAGATACCAAAATTGCTTCTGTCAAAATTCAGCTGCAAGTACTCCTCTGAAAGTTATAAAAAAAATAGAAAATAAAACCACAACAGACTTTACAACACATAGCTCTCTCGCTATTTTGTGTCTAAAGACACTACACTGTTGCATTATAAACATACATATTTACAATCTTACCTTCCGACTCAACATCCCAAATGATGAGATTATTATCCGTGTCCACAGATATTACGTGATCACCAAATGGCAGAACCAGATGAATTTCTGCCTCATGTCCACTGTACGTGTGAACTACCTGGAAAAGTTAACAAACATTGACATAGCATCCACTACACATACACATAATTCAAATAACATATCAAGTTCAAATAACATATCAAGAAAGTACATCAGAAAGCATCCTCACAGATTCATTAAAGCAGTTGTAAAGGCAGGATATAATCCCTGGCCCAAACGCTATCTACAACATTGCTTCGTCACTCTTTTATGTTTAAAGCCTTGGTACAGTTGAGTGGCGGGCAGAGAATCCTCTAAGGAGAGATGTCAGGAGAGGAAGGGATGTCACCGACTTGGACTTCATTCATAGTGAGGGGGGAGGTGTATGTTCCTGTCTGAGCAAGGGAAGCCCAGAGATTATGTGAAATAGCTGAGAATTCGGCAAATAGCGGCGAAGCTTCCAAGTGCCCCACCATGCCCAGGGAATAAGCCATTTCTATTAAGGCTGTTTAGTATTGTCGGCGCAGACCCAGAACTAAGGCCATAAGCGAATAAGCAAATGGCAGGATCAGCAGGTCATTTATTGAGATCAACTAAAACCAATGTAACTGTAAATGTACATAAATTATGAGACCCTTGCACAACACAGTTTTTCATTTTTGCCTGGAGAAACACTTTAAACCTTGATCCCAAACAATCTGATTGAATGCATAAACAATTGCCAGTAAAAAAAGAGCAGAGCAAAGAACCAAAGCACCAAGTTAAATACCTCTAGCACAAGTCAGATTCCATCTTTAACTGACTTCAGTAAAGCTAATTCTGATCCTAGTTACCATAGGTTAATGCACATTGGAGGGAATTTATCATAGCAATTGCGAGTGTTTGAACTTGCACGGAATATATTTGATGCACTTTGTGCCAGATTTATGTTGCTAGTGTAATGTTGTTCATAAATGAGGTTTAACAGACTACAGGAAAGAAGACTCGTAACCCTGGGCAAAAAGCTTAACGGTCGCTTCTTAAAGAAGTGGTTATGGGAACTTCTTAAAGTGACATTAAAGTCAAATATGTTTTCCCTCCACCCAATGTTAATTAAAGCATGAAGCGGCCGCCCCAAGATGCTTTGCGGCCGCTCGAGAATTTTCACATTTTCGGACAGGAGTGCGCGGGGAAGACACAGGTAAGTTTAAACCGTTTTTTTTTTTTTACACTTTTTGCATATAACTATTGCTTGCTAGCAGTAGATATATGCAAAAACACTGGAGGCTTTAATTATACTTTAAGTTGCGATTGTTTTGTTAGGTGATGCTCTAGTTTCAAACAGCCCCAGAACAAGTGCAGATGAAAACAGGTGCAAAAAAACGTGCAATTAAAAAAAAAATAGTAGTACAAGCTCTGGTCAAAACAGGTGCAAAACACGTGCAGTTGAAAAAGTAGTGCAAGCTCAGGTCAAAACATGTTAAAAGACAGACTTGCACAAAAAAAAAAAAAAAAAAAGGAAGGATGATCTAAGAGGCTAAAACTGTCGCAATTGCTTTGATAAATTCCCCCCATGGTGTCCACCAGATTGTTCACACACTGCACATTGTAGCTCCAACACCAGGTCCTGTGTCATTACAGGACACAGTAGTTATGTAAGGACCAGTAGATGAAATCACAGAATAGCAGGAGGTCAGGCATCCAACACACCCAAAAGTGCTATAGATGTGAAGATTCTGCCAAAGGCCATAACTCTTGAACAGAGCAAGAACCTGAGGAACAGGCAGTGGGACAGTTGCGTATTATTACTATTCTTTTGCATTTTTTTTTGTTAACTTTTTAATGTGTCAACACGGTCGCTTTAAGTCAAACTTTAAAACAATCAAGGCCTCTATAGAAAAAATGAACATATCCAAGTGTTCACAAAATATTTTTAAATACATACCTCTTTGTTCTTGGCAAATGCTTTAAGAAGGTTCCCATGAGCTGCATATACCAGCATTCGATCTGCAGCCAGACAGCTAATGTCTTCTGGAAGAGCATTGCCTAAAAAAGTAAACAAAAAAAAGAAACGATAACATGAAGTCCAAAACATGGTGCAGAGAAAACACATAGCCAAGCCAGAAATAGTTTTGGCAGAACGTCTGTTTGATATGGTGCTGCTGCATCACCAAGCTTTATGGTCGCTTATTACCCCTCATAAAAAAAATCCGGCAGGAGATCAGAGTTATGACAGAGTGGAGCCAGTACTACAGAAATGGCTGACTCTGGAGTTACAAAACCTCTATAAATAGCAACTCTGTGAGTGTTGTAGTTTTCATTTGTATGACTGATATATCAGATCAAAATGTTCAGTTTAGCAAAGTGTGGAAGAGAAATGGTTAGAGACAAGCACTCATAAGTACGGAAATAGATAACGAGTACTACTTAAAAAAAAAAAACCAAGGAAAAATTAAGTGACAGATGGAATAATTTGAAAACATGACACTTACTGACAGCAACTTGGCCAAGTCTGTTCACCTAAAAAGACAAAAACCAATGCCATAAGCAACTGTGTTTTTCAGTTTTTTCCTCAAAAACATTTACAAATGTCATAATGCAATGTAACAAAGTTTTTCAACATAGAAAAAAAAATCTATTTAGTTATTATTTCAAAAGAAAAAGTGGTCTAAGGGCAGGTTCAAACAATTTTCCTGACCGGATCTGGAACGCAGTGTATTGGGTTTTTACTGCGATTTTGCCGCGTTTGGAAATGATTTTTTTAACCTTAAAATGGTCTTACAGGTGCGCTCCAGTGCATTTGCATGCGTTATGCGTTCCAGTGCATTCCAGACCAGACAAAATAAGACGAGCAGTATTTTTCTGGTCTGGTACAGACTGCACTGGTGTGAACAGAGGCCAGAAATAGCATAGGGATGCATTTTGGGGCTGGAAACAATCTGGTCTGGAGATGATCCGGACATGGTGTGAATAGGCCTTAAACGAACAACGAACAACAACAGTAGCACTGATCTGAATTCTACTAAAAATTCATTGGGATAAATTGGATTGCGGATTATGAGCCAGGTCTTCTTCTGCAATATCACTACTTGACCTTACAAATGTTCTTGGGCAAACACCTTCCAAAATCGTAAGGAAAGAGGAAGGTTGTTATAGCCAAAAATGATGGAAGGGTCAACTATACATTCATTTACATGGTTTTGGAATGCTGCAACAAGCTCATATAGATCAGATGACCAGGTATCCACCCGCTTCTGATTCAGACGGGTTCAGTTACAGAACAATGGGGAGGAAAAGTGGCTAGCAACATATGGGATCTAATCTTTTTTACATACTGACTGTTCCAACCATGGGGCAACATAAAGAGCAAGTCTGTTTCATGACATTGTTTCCCAAATAACATTGTGGTTATATGACCAGATTAGATCTGTGCTCAGAAGGTAAAGTATTTTATGTGACTTACTAGAATTTTGGAAAGAACAGAAACTCATCTTTGTGACCCGATCATTTTCATCTATGGCCTAATAAATAAAACAGTATGCACATTTTTTAAAATCACACTGCACTGGAACACATGGCATTGCGGTACCGTGCGTTCCAGTGCAGGCGATCACACTGCGGACGGAAGGTGCATTTGTGATCCATTGAAATGAACTGCAACGCACTTCCTAATAAGTGTATGTATATTAGACATTTCAATTAGCTTCATGGATTTAAAATAATGTGAATTGAAAAAAATCTAAGCCAATTTAATTTAATAACCAACCTTTTATTTAAAATAACACAAAATTGTGTTTTTCTATTTGTAATATGAGTTTATTCAACTTTATTTTTCTGCATTTTTATTTAACTTTTTTTTTTTTTAACATTATTGCTGGCAGCAATAGCCAGCAAAAGCGGGCTGGCTATTGCACCCGCCCACTGCCTGCTGTCAATCAGTAGAGGAGGGACCTGAAAGGAAAAAGTGCCCCATCAGGTCCTCTTCTGCTGATTGACAGCAGGCAGTGGGCGGGTGCAATAGCCAGCCCGCTATTGCAATTTGAAATAACCAACAGCAGTATGGCTCCTAGCCTCTAGATGCAGAGGAAGAACGGGGCAGGGCAGCAGAGGCACAGGGAGCGGGGAAGAGGAGGATCGGGGCAGGGCAGCGCACACACAGAGAAGGATCGGGGCAGAAGCGGAGGTACAGCGGGGAAATGCAGTCACAGTGGTCTCTCCTCCCCACTGGTGCCGGCTGCTGATACAGGCGGGGGGAGCAGTAGGGATTGAAAGGGACTAAGACGGCTGCAGCCAGCACTAGCAGGGAAGAGAACGGAGGAGCAGAGTAGCAGCAACTAATGGACAATGAGAATAGTGCTTGCAGCATTTTGATCGCACCGGACCGCAGGCATCATGTGCCTTGCGATCCCGTGCGGGCGATCGCATTGCGGCCGGAGGGAGTGGCTACTGGCCCACCACACCCCCTCCTGCCCAACAAAAAAGTGAGCCGGCAGCATTGCAATGCAGTGCGTTCCGGCCAGAATCAGACCGGAACGCACTGTATCTGGTGTGAACGTACCCTAAGTGATGAGTCCGGGCTAGGTGCGAACCCAGTTCACCCAAGATTGATCAAAACTGACTCTTACCACCTCCTCCTGACAATCAGTTGGGGAGAGGCGCATTCCCCACCCAGCAGCTATACATCACAAACGGGGTGGGGAATGCCCCTGCCGCCACTATTTGGGTGGGGAGGGGGGAGTGGCAGTCACAGTTTTGAGTGGGCTTGGGCAAACTCAGTTGAAGTGGGTTCACGTCCAGGCTCATCTCTAGTCTTATGACTGTCTCCTGAAGCAGGGCCCCAGTCTACAACACCTCCAACAGCATGTTTCATACTCTGACCATCTTCTGTTGCAGGTCTGCAGTCTCTCTCTTGTGGTATACCTGTAATATCTATCTCCTGTTGCATGTCTGTAATCCCTGACCATCTGTTGTAGCATGCCTTTAGTATCTGACCATCTCCTGTTACTTGTCTGCAGTCTTTGACCATCGCTTGTAGTAGACCTGTAGTCTCAGACTATCACACATTGCAAGTTTTGACACCTTTCTTTTGCATTAGATTTTGACTATTAAATGTGTGGCTCTTTAGAGGATGTCAGGGGCCACATTTGAAGCCCCCCACGTCAAGAAATGTGACGATCACTGCTCTAAGGGGACGATAAGCTAATACAAAGTGCTGTTATGGTATAGGAAAAAGTAACAGATGAATGTACTGCAAAGGGGCTCCGTAAGGCCTTTGCCAGCGGTTGACCTGCGATAAGCAGTGTAATGCCTTGTGCATCTTGTACTCACATTGTAAGTGAGGAAGCTTTTCCCCACGGCGGTGACCAGGTAGAACTCCTTGTGCCTCTTGTGGTACCTGACTACATGGGGAATGTGGTTACTGTACAAGCCCAGAGAGCGGTACCCGGTAAAGAGAACGCTGCCCCGGCCCTTCTTCTCCGATGCCATGCCAAGCCGCTGAAGCTCCAGGCAGCTAAGTTTTAACCACGTGGGTGCAATCCGCTGGTGGCTTCACAACACAGTCTATCGATAGAGCTTCCGGGTGAGCGTGCAGTTGCCTAACTCTTCCGCCTCCCTCCGTCCTTGCATATTGGTTCCGCGCAAAATACCTAGTTTACTTTTAGTCAGTCTTTTAGCTCAAGGGTTCTGCACACTGACCATCTGTTTAATAAAGCCAACCTTACTATGTACTCCCTAGTGCCACTCCTATTATCTCAAATACCATCTGATGTGTTAATTTCCTGTTTCCAGAAACATACCTAGAGAGTCCATTAAGGCTAGGTTCACGCCTGGGCGACTCCTGACCACGTGGCAATCGTGCACAAAACCGCGTGGATTGCCACGTGGTCACGGAGTCGCCCCCGGGCGCAGCCAATCGTGCTGTGGGTGCCATTATTTTCTATCATGGCTAAAAAAAGCCATGCATCGTGTGTTGCAAAAAAAAAGTAATTTTTTAGCGATTGACGCACGGATGTCACCCCAATGGGGCTGCGCGGCAACCACTGTGTGCACTATTTTTATTATTATTATACAGAATTTATGTAGCGCCAAAAGTTTACGCAATGCTTTACAATATAAGGAAGATATTACAATCACAAATCAAGACAAAATGGTAAGGAGGACCCTGCCCGTGAGGGCTTACAATCTAAAAGGGAGGCTAGCACGCGATTGCGCTGCCCCGGGACGCGCGTCCCGGGTGTCGCTGCGGTGTGAATCTAGCCTTACACATTACAAGGTTAGCTTTTTTTTTTTTTTTTATCATAATAGACAACAGCAGGAAGCACACTTCAGTAAAGAGTAAAATACATGTTTGTGATGTGTTAAAAGCAGTATATTTGTTTAAATTGGCTGACTAATGCATCAAAACAGATGCATGCACTATTTTACCAATGCATTACCTTGTGCACTGCAACCCATGGGCATTGGAAAAAGTACATGAGGAAGCCATTTGGAATGACTGTACAAGTAACTGCCTAAGGCCCCTATTACATGGCGAGTCCGATCAGATCTGCCTGTCAGTTTATCAAACAGACCCGATCAGATGCCCAATGTTGGTCTATGGGCAACCGTGTGTAAACAGGAGATTTGCCAGACCTGATCATGCCGGATCAGGGGTAATCGGACATCCGATTTCCCCATAGACCAACATGGGTCTGGTAATTTGAGTTTTTGGAGGAAATACTGTACGTACGAACACAGATGTCAAAGCGCTGACATCTGCTCCGTACTCTATGCCCTCCTTATCAGCCCGTGTGAAAGAGGCCTTATGTTGTCTGTCGTGTATTGTTAGGCAACAAAATTCAGCCAGCTTTGCAAAGTGTGATTGGGCTCCATACATATTTGTGGATATTAGGAAATGAACACATCAGATGGTACTTGAGATGATGGGACTGGCATCAAGGAGTTAATAGTAAAGGTCGGTTTTATTAAAGGGATGGTCAGTATGCAAAAATCAGAGTACATGATAATGGTTATCATAATAATACTATCCATCAGATGCCCACAGCCCAAGTGTTCCTGCCACAGTGAGTGGGGTAGGCAGCAGATCTTGCAGGGATCAGAGGGGACTGAGTGCAGATCAACCAATCGATAATGAGAATCGTTGACAACAGCACAGCAGCACAGGTGATAGGAACGCCCCATGCCAGACCAGGCCAAGTCAGTCCACCAATGGAATAATCAATGCTCAGTACTGGCCTTCGCAAAAACTGACCATTTCTGTTGAAGGAATTCCTTTTTTCATGTGTGGTGATGCATCTCCTGTTCCTGTTGGGATCTCACATATTGTCCTTTAAGAAGAATTGGAAAATAATATACTTAACTATACAATTTCATATTTTGGTCATCTGGACTGAAATGAGAAAGATGTCATTAAAATCTTCAAGGACTACAGTAAGTTTCACACTACATTAGACATTCAACTCAGTCATGAAAAAGAAATACGTTTTCTAGACACAAATATAAACATTGGTAGCCAGAGTAAATGGTCCTGTTACATTAGGGGTTATTGTAGAATCCATTTGGTGGGGGGTATTTACATTAATCACCAATATAAGCACTGACTACCATGCCCTTGGTATAATAATGGTTAGTATAAATATCCGGTTTCATCAGCAGTCACTGTAAGATTCCCTTGTCCACTGGTAGTCAGTGCAAATGCATCCTAAAGGTGGCCATACACTTTACAACCATCGCAAGACCTTAGTCTTGAGATGGTTGTAAAGTAATTAAAAAAACGTACGATCTGCCCATCTTGGGCAGGCAGATCGTACTTGCGATCATCGCAAGCCCGCCCCCTTGAGGGCCGGGCTTGCGATGACTGCAATGAGGGGCGGGCTTGCAAGGACGGCAAACGGGCAGTGTGCGCGTGCGCACACCGGCCCGTTCGTCAGTTGTCGAACAAGCAGGCCACTCACTCGCCGAGAATCGTACGATTCCCGGCGGGTTTTCCAGCCTGCTTGTTCGATGGAAGACCATTTCTACTGTACGGGTCGCACGCCTTCCATACACGGTACGATTCTCGTACGATCGCGGGATTTCCCACGATTCTCGTACGAGAATCGTACAGTGTATGGGCACTTTTAGCCTCCCCTTTCCTTAAAGGAGAACTATGAGGTGAGTGCTTTTCACTCACCTCATCGTTCTGGCCGACAGTCTCAGTATAGTCTCTAGCCGGCGTCTCAGTTATCCCTTTCATACTCTATCCTAAACTAAAAAGCAAATGTTTTGGCTATACATACACTTTAACCACTTGCTGACCGGGGTGTTTACACCCCCTTCCCGTCCAGGCCATTTTTCAGTATTCAGCGCTGCGGGTCACGTCGGGTAAATAGACACCAAACATGTCAAGCCTTAAAATTGCGCGCACGCCTGCGAAATCGCAAAAAAAAACACCATAGACAAAATTTGCCATAGGCGATGCTTTAAAAGATTTTACCGCTCCTCAGTTTAGTGTTATCAGTGATTGATGGCCCTAGAATTATTGCTCTCATTGAGACGTTTGCGGCGATATGTAACACGTGCAGCAAAATTGGAGCAATCGCCATTTTTGCGTATAGGCGCATGTAACGCATTTTTGTGCATCAATGTGGGGGTGGGGAACTTTTAAAAAATTTTGTGGGTTTTTTTTTGTTTTGTGTGTGTAAATTTGTATTTATTTTGTGAGCATTTTTTTTTTTTTTACACTTAAAGGGACATTAACGAACAA